TCCCAAACAACATGCCGGCCCTTATCTTTCCAAAGTGGTGGACCTCATCGACCTCATCCTCCTCATCCTCACGGTGCTGGTTCTTGAACGGCGTTGAGCGGCTCGCCTGGTCCGCTGCGCCACTCCGACGGACACCAAGGAAGTTTGTCGTGTTTGAAAAGAGCGATAATCCCATCTAGATCGTGTTATTATATTCCGTTTCCTCGCTCCGTGGACCTCGAAACAACTTCTACGTCCGTGCTAGAAGAGAGGGTGGGGGAGTCACAACTTTTTCCCTTCCCCGACCGGAAGTCAGGTGACAGGACACCAATAAAGCTCAATTTGCTTAACGACTCGCGCTTCCGCCGGTGCCTTACAAAATAAAACTGCTTCGCGATTGAATCTGAGCGACGCATACAGGAAGGTAAAAAAAAAAAAAAAAAAGTATCAAGTTGTTGACGGAGTCAGTCGTTTTTAAAATGATCAAATTTCACTTCATTGGTCCTGGAATGATTACTTATCAGCGACAAAGGTATCTTATCTATCTGTTTTTCCCACCCTGGGGGTGTATCGTGACAAGCAGTAGAACAATTAAAGGCACTACACGTACCACTATTGGGTAGAAAATACATCCTGAACCGTTTATCCTCACGAGTGTCGCGGATGTGCTCGAGCCTATCCAAGGTGTCTTTGGGGCAGTACGCGGGGTACACGTCGAACTGCTTGCCAGCCAATTGCAGGCCACACATAGACAAAAAATATAGTCACACTCACAATCACACTTAGGGGACACTCTAGAGTGGTCAATTAATCTATCATGCATGTTTTTGGAATGTGGGAGGAAACCAGAGTACCCAGAGAAAACCCACACACAGAGGAAGGCCGGGGTTCGAACCCGCGACAGACTTGCTCACGAGTCGATCAACATGCTGCTGCAGAAAATACAATTAACATTTGACTACGTATACAAGGGGTTTCAGAAGTAGGTCTTCACTTGTTATTTACCTTTAATCTTCAAATTTTAAGTTGCAATTTCTTGATTGAAACACATACATAAAACAAGAAAAAACATCTTTCATTGTAAAGGGAAATGTTTGGAAAATAAAGAGAAGCACCTCTTGGCCCTGCTGGCTGCCGTGTGGAAAAACTGTTTCCTGGCAGGGGCCCCTTAATGAGTTGCCTTGCTACCTTTGCCCCCCCTCCCCTCACCCCGCTTCCTCACTCCATCATGTCCGTTTTGAAACGGCAAATCAAAGTATGTCCGCCACGGCAGCAAAATAACATGCAGATGCCAAAGCACTACAAAATGGTCTAGTGCAGAGATTCTCAAAGTGTGTTACTAGCTCAAGTGGATCCACCCCACCTTAAAAAAAAAAAAAAAAAAAATAGCCTACGTACAGTTGTATTTAACTTTCCAGTTCAGTAAATGTAATCGCGAACGTTATTTGTACCTCACTGACATATGCATGAGGAAAAAAAAAGGGGCACTGAATTGAAATATGAGATTTTTTTTTTTTATTTAATCCGTACAAAATAAAAATGTTAAAAAGTTTACAATGCAACTTCCTTCTGCCTACATGGAAACATGGAGCATGGACAAAGATGGGAACCTGTGTCTACTTTCAATGAAAGCATTAAAAGTATTCTTAAAAAAAACAAATTTAAGGAGCTGGGGAGGGGGTGATGCAACTTAACAATAAAGTAGTCAGAAGATGACTATGGCAGAAACAGAAACTAATTGGCATGACGGATTTAAAAAACAAAGGTGGGGTTCATAAAAAAAAAAAAAATCAGGAAGCTGTCTGCATTGTGGTCTTTTTTAAGGGGGTGATAAAAACATGAATTAAAAAGAACAAAAGAGGAGGGGAGAAATGCCTGAAAGCAACACAAACCACACCTATTTTGTCTGTAGGCATTTAAAAAAAACAAACGAAAAAAAAAACAACAACAACAAAAGTATACAAATCAAAACAGAAGTCCTTAAAACTATTTTGGTTGGATTTACGTCTCCAATGAAATAAAATCCCAAGTTTAAAAGAGAACACAAAATTAAAACACAATGTACAACCAGATTCTTCTTTCCTGTGGCCTCTTGCCCGATGAAGAGTCTTTTGCTCCTCTGCTCCGAGCGACCGCCGTGATAGCAACTTAAACTGGAAAAAAAAATGTGTGTGTGTGACGAGGGGGCGGGGGTGGAAAGGGGAGCTAAGAGTCATAGTCTTCGTCATCGTAGTCCGCATTTTGTTCGAGCATGGGAGCCGGCGGAGGTGGCGCAGTGCTCATCATGGAAGGGTGCGGGGCGAAGGCCACCGGGACCCGAGGCTGCGCCATGGCCGCGCCGTCCCCTGTGACCACGTTGCCCTCGTGCGGATACTTTGGGGGTGCGCCAGCGCTACGCGTGACACATGCAGAGGCAGGAACAAGATGCACAAAGCACTACATTAGCAGTGATTCTTTAATTTTCATTTACATTTTCATTGAATCTTAAGTCCTTTTTTTTCCCGAATAATGGTCACACTGTGTCAAAAGGCAGACCTGGATTGGTGAGTGACGTGTGCGTCAGCAAATGACTGTCGTAGGCTGTGGCTAACTCAGGTTAGCTACTATTCATGAGCCTTGTGTCATTTGTTTTGCTTCTTTTTTTTTTTTTTTTAACTAGTGAACCCAGTCGTTTATCTTACTGGAGTTCATGATTGTGTACAAGCTAGATGCATTGTGATGACGCTTTGCTGATTATTGTGTGTGGCTTGTGACTGTTTTGCTGGCTTGCACACAGCCTCAAGAAGTGCAGAAGATGACGGGCATTCTTTGGGGGATGCCTTTGAGCCTGTACCTGTGGAACCTGGATGCAGCCGGCAGATTTGTGCTTGACTGAGAGCCGTCCTCTTCGTCCCCATCTGTCTCGCTGTCTTCAGAGTCCTCCTTTTGCCCCCAAATCCAACAAAGGGACACAAATGGTTTGACGTGATAATGGAACCCAGACGGCTCCCATGGTGCAAATCGCTTCCCACCTCTTGTTCTGACTCAGTTCCGGACAACTTCTTGTCTTTGCCTTTTGAGCCGGCCCCTCCGTTTTTGTGACCGGAACCTGGTTTTCGACCCCTGGGGAAGAAGAGCAACACCATCAACACAAAAACAAAACTCTCATGCAAACCTGACATTGGAGTAGAGGACATATTAACACATCAATACCTGCGTGGCAGCTTTTCCCCCACCGCCTCAGTGTGGTTCTCGTCCCCCTCACCCTGCATGTCCGGCACAGTTGCCACCAGATCTTTCAAGAAATCAAACTGCTGCTCCAGCTCGATGCATTGTTTTCTGTCCACACACACATACACAAAGATGAAGCATCACCTTTGAGCTTGCCAACAACTTCTTCTAGTATTTGTGAATTGAGCGACGTCCTTGTCAATAAATGAGAGTATCGAACTGGCTGGCTTTGGACAAACTATTGTCCCATTTCCTTGTTAACAAAGCTTTGCTAGCATCTTGTGGCATCTCAGGGTATTTATGATAGAGCACGAAAAAAAAGTTGCAAATAGGCGAGAACATGCAAATGCCATAGACGGCAAAACTTACAAGTGTGACGTTGTCATAGTCTTGGCATTCTTGGACTGGGTGACGTGACAGGCCTTAGTGAGCAAAGACTCCAGGAAAAGTTCCAGGGCTCTCGCTGATGTCGTGGTAAAGGAACCTGCACGGCTTTGAAGAGGATGACACAGAACTTTCTTTTATGCAATCGAATGGGGTTCCCCAAGGTAAAGCCATTAGTATCAAGTACAACTTTATTGTCAAATGTAAGGCATAAGTATAAGATAAGGCACTTGTAAATCAATATACCACTGTCATTGCATGAAATGTGGTTGTTTTAGTCCGGAAGTTCCTGACCATCAATTTTGGTCATTTTGATCTCCTTCCCCAACTTTGAAAACTGTCGTTTTTTTTTCAAACCTCAACACTGCAAAGTAAAGATGTTAAGCACGAAGGATACAAATAATAACAGGTACTGCTGCAGCCACTTTGCCTATTTCTTCATCCGTCTGCATAATCTTCTTAATCCTTGCCTGAAAAAGAAGATAGCACCAAAAAATTAAGCGTTTGCTAAGATATAAGACGTGCACAAATGTTTCGGAACGCTTTCACAACAGCTCGGCGTGCTAAAAACAATGCGAAATAGTGGCGAACTTGAGATAGGTTACGGCACAAATTTGGAGGTATGCGAGTGCTTTTCAACGCGTTTCGACTAACAAATGTTTTGTGTTAATCTGGCAAGGTACAACCTACAGCAAATGAAGTTTAGAATTACAAATTAGCATTGAGTAAGATTAGCTCGTGTTAGCTGGACAGGACACCGGCTTCGGTAAACACTTACCGGTGGAAATCTCGCATTGTATTTCTTCTTTTTGCTCGGCATTGTGAAGTAAACCCGATGGGTAACACACACACACGCGCGCGCACAAAGACACACGCACAAAAATGAAATATTACTCCGGAGTAATGAAAAGGTCCACCGGCGGGCAGACACCAAAATAGATGCGCGACCGTCCCGGTCGGGCTAAGCCGTTAGCTTAGCACGTTAGCACGTCGACGTAACTCCAGCGGTGGTTGCGTAGCTTGGTGTCCGCAAGGTCCTGACGCCCGATCGTCACCTATAACTTATGGCGAAAATTTAAACATATGATTGAGGTGGACAAGAAAAAAACGATTGTGTAAACGGAGAGATTTTAAGGTGCTTCCGTGTTAAAATCTCCGAATACAGATATTTTAACTGATTCTGTTAAATACTGTTAGTTACAGTCCGGAGGGCACGGTAGACGGCTGCTTCACACGTCCGCTGACTCGTTCGCACGTCCGCCTCACAGTGCAGAAGTCCGTGGTTCGATTCGTGTGTGGAGTTCGCACGTCCTGCCCCTTGCCTGTATGGGTTTTCTCCGGGCACTCCGGTTTCCTCCCACATAAAAACAAACAAACAAAAAACAAAAAAAAACATGCACGGTAGGGTACTGGAACATTCTAAATTGTCTCTCGGTGCGAGTGTGAACGGTTGTTTCTCTATGTGTGCTGGCAACCAGTTCTGGGTGTACCCCACTTGCCGACTGAGGATGGACGCCAGTACGCCCGCGACCCACAGGTGGATAATCAATCATTGGATGAAGATTTACACGACTGTACCTCCTCCAGTTACAGAGAGACAGCGCCCACTGGAGGCCGGAGGTTCCAGTCGGAAGGTAAACTCGTTTTTGTTTTGACGTCGGTTTGACTGCTTTGATCAACACGTCTGACATAACGGGTAACAATTTACACTTTGCAATCTTCCATCCTCCCGATTCTGAAGGCAGGGGGCGGGGGGGTATTTCCTGGAGCCGAAAGTTCCTAATTCGACCACTGTTACACGGCAAACGCGGCGGGTTGATCACAACAGCTAGTGGAGCTAATGTAGCTAGCAAAGTCAAAGTCTTTCACGTGAGTACAGTACACGTTCACGTCAACGTTATGATCGGTAATTAAGATGTTTTGCGGGTTAAAAATGTTGCATAGCTCGCATGCTGGATTTGTCCTTTTTACAGTACATGTGAGCAAGTCTTGCAAGGTAAAGCCGAGGTTGTAAAAGTACTCTCATTCTGAAGTACAAGTACGGATACTTATGTACAAGACTAGTTTAAGCTCCATCACTTTTACTTACATTGACAAAAGTACCGAATCTTCAATGTGCTTAAATATAAAAGTACACATGTTTTGGGCTCAAGCAAAACAAGTATGCAAAATCAGCAACTTTATTTAAAAAAAATATCTATATCTATACACACACACTATGTTTTTTCAGATTCAACAGAGGATTTTCAACCCATTAGGTGTGATTAAACAGGAGCATCATGGAGGAGGAAGCGGCGTCCCCGTTAGAAGGTGACATGGAGCCCTTGTTCCCCGCCGAGACCTATGCCGCCGAGTCCTTGGCAGCGGACATGGACCCTTGGGTCGTGTTCGACTCGAGAAAAAAACCCAGATCGGAGTTCGACGACTGGCTGGAGAGCAACAGGCCGTCACGAGTGAGCAGATTTGGCAACAAGGAGCTGGGCGTGGGCCCCGTGGGCTGGATCGCTGTGCTGGGCCCGGACCACTGCTCCGACGGCGGGGATGTGGACGCTCTCCAGGAGAGCTGGGAGAAACTGGTGGCCAGCGGGCGGGCAGTCAACTTTGAGAACGTCAAGGAGCTGGCGCTGAACCACGGCGTCCTCTCGGGCAAATGGCTCATGCACCTGGACCCCGGCTTCAAGGTGGACCAGGCGTGGGAGTGCGTAGCCAGAGCGACGGTGGACGGCAAGATCTGCAGCGTCAAAGTCAGCCCGTACGACCCCGTCAAAGGAGACAGGCATGTCATCTGCGTTTACAACCACAACTTCACAGACGAGCGCGAAGTGGTCCAGCTGGACGCTCACATCCGAGCCTCGGGGGTCAAGTGTCCTCTGGCCTATAAGCCGGACGTGTACACGTACCTGGGAATCTACCGAAACAACCGCTGGAAGCTCTGTCCCACCATCTATGAGAGTAAATTCAACCTGGAGTGTGTGCCAAGGCGCTCGCGCATCGTCAACAAAGTCACCAACCTGGATGTCACATAAGCCTTATGGCAAGAGTTAAAGAAAATATATTATGTGTTGAAAAGAATCCAGTTCTTCCTATTGCGGTTGGATTCCATCATCTATCTTTGTGCTGTTGAAGTGAGTGTTATTTGCGGCAGGGCTTCAAATTCGTGATTGCTGGTTGACTGTATTCACATTTGCGCTGACCTTGTGGGGAAACCTCCCCATTGATGCACATTTTCTGTGAGTATTGACACACGTTTTCTCTTTTTCAAAAACAACAGTTCTATAATTGCCAAGTAAAGTACCTTTGAAGGTTCCGGCTTTTGCTTTATGCTGCAAAACTTGGACGAATTTACAATCACACAAGTTCAAAACATCTCCAAGAATCTTTTATTTGACAATAAAGCAAGTAGGTTTGAATCCAGTTAAGTCGATTAAAGCCGTTGCCACACAAGAAATCAGTGCCAAGCTTCAAAAAAACACTCTGCCGATCGGTTTTGTTTTTGGCATTTCACATAAGTTGGCACGAGAGCGGATCAGCGCTGACATTTTTTTTTCTCCAAATGTAAAATGGCTGCCTTGGCTCAAGGGTTGCGGGGAAACTGCAATAAATGACACAAACGAGGAGGAGGAGGAAGAGGAGGTATGACAAAACACAGCATGACACCTTTTCACAGTTCATAGTGATGCAAGCAGACGTGAACGTTGCCCGTGTTATTTACAACTAGACCCTTCATTTGGTTCTGAGCACATGACTACCATTTGGCGAGATGTTTAAAAAAAAAAAAGACATTGGTCCACTATTGTAACAAAGGTGACAGACTCTTTGAAGACACAGCTGCATCGACTTACCTTCAAGTCTGTTTGCAATCCCAGTCAGAAAAGCAGACCTGCTGTCGTCGTTTAATGAAAAAAAAAAAAAAAAAAAAAAAAACGGTGAACACATGTTGAAACTTCAACAACCTTGTTGGAAATCCATTTGAGCATTTGTTCAATAGCAGAAAAATCCAGCTCTAGGTCCAGGTACGAGTACCGGTAGGCTCTTTGTCCTCACTCGTCACACAATTCAGTGCAAGTAGAACGAAGATGGAACTGCAGTAAAGTTTTTTTTTTTCTCCCCACGACCGGATGACATTTCTGCACTGGTAGAACGACGAGAAGGACAGAGAAGTGCATCGCTAGTTTTAAGGGCTGAACCAAGGAAATGCAAGTTTATCACGCCACAATGAAGGTTAGGGCTTGAAGTAGCGCGTGGTGACCAACTAACGCCTTGTTACCAGAAAGCGGGCTCGGACATGGACTTAAAGCTGGATTTCAAAGAAATGCTCAAACGGCTTTTGCTTTTATTTGATGTCTTTGATGAGAAGTTTTTTTTTTTTTTTTTTGTCACTAGTGCATGGATCTTATTCCTTGATAGCCAGATTGAGGGGCATGCACGAGTAGAAATAAGGTTACTGGCAAGACGCAGTCGTTCTGTCAAGTGTCCTGAATTGTCTGAGCGAGTGAGGACGAAGAGCATCTCAGGAAATGGACGTGGAATAAATGCTGAAAGGGCGTTCCAGACGTGCCAGATGTGAGCAGCGCTCTTCAATGCCTTTTAAGTGGGGTGTCCCGAAACAAAACCGGCTTGGCTTCCGCTGTTAAAAATGGAAATGAGATGATCCTCATCCACGGAAATCAACTCGTCAAACTCGTCCAGCACGGCGGGCCGCTGCGGGTTGTTGCCGTTGTTGGTCAAGACGTCCATCATGCTCTCGTTCTGGAGCAGGTTGACGATGCTGTTGGGATAATTCATCCAGGTGCTTCCCGGGTTGCCGGCCGGGTCCGAAGCGTTCTGCGCTGCGGCCATCGCCGCCGCCGCCGAGTGGCCGGCCTGCTGGCCGTTGCCGCTTTCGTCCGGCGGATTCAGGAGGTCCACAAAGTCGTCCATGTCTAGGCTGTCCAGGGTTCCTGAGGCCTGGGCTTCCGAAAAGCTGGGGAACTGCGGAATGCCCTCCTCCACCGCGCTGGCGTCCGCTGGGAACTGAGAGCCCAGTAAGGGGAAGAAGCCGGAGGACTGCGAGGGGGCGGCGCTCCCCTGCGAGGCCGGCGCCTCTTGGGTGACGACCGAGCTGATGCTGGGGAAGAATTCCTGAAGGTCTGACAGGTTGACGGTGGGGTAGTCCTGGCTGGAAACAGGCGGGTGGTTGGCGGAGCAACCCGAAACCCGGATGGCTTGGGGCTGCGGGCCCAGGTTCAAGCTCTCCATGATCTTCCACGTTTGGCTCGTGGCTGCGACGGAATTGGAAGACGGGGAGGAGGAGAATGTGGAGGGGGAGGAGGAGAAGGAGCAGGGGGACGCCTCCACCTTGGTCTGGCCCGAGAACATCTGGCTGGGCTGCATGTGAGTGAAGGAGGGCTGCGCCTTGGCCCCGCTGGCAGCAGGTGGAACTGCAGCACAAACGCAACCAGCACGTCAACTTCAAAAACTTCAAAGCCACCTACTGCACACTCATGACAAGTAAGGCCCGACCACGAACGGATTATTATTATGATTTTATTTTTTTTGAGGTTCATGCCAATTCCGGTATTTGCCAGGATAAAATTCCGATGGCCGATTCATGGTCAGATGAATTTAAAAAATAGATAAAGAATAAAACAAATTATCCTTTGTCCCATGCTACAATAACGGACATTTGACTGCTTTATACTGCTTTATAATTTAGGATTGCTTTAACTTTACAACAAAGAGAAAAGTCAGCATTTTTTTTGTGGGTGGGAGGATGTTTGAAGGTTAGTGTCTTATTTTGTAATGTGCTAAAGTGTAAAAAAAAAAAAAGTCTGAAAATTAGCTCATAACATCAATTGGAATTTAAAAAAAATATATTTTTTGCATTAGAGAAATTTTGAATGCCAGAATCATTCACCACATCTTATTCTTGGATTCATGAACGAGACATTTCTTGCTTCACCGAATTTGTTTTTCTCCTTGATAAGACAGCATTATCCGCAAAGGCAAAAAAAAAAAAAAAAAAAGTAGCAAGCCGATTTTAACAAAGTGGCGACCTCTGACTGAAGGGACTAAGCCGAAAGTCAAACGACAATAATCGTGTAAAGAAATCAGTTTTCAAAGTAGAAGGAGGGAGTCAAAATCAAAATTTGTTGGAAAAACAAATGAGGCACAGAGCCTGAAAAAGGACAGGAAGGGCATCCCAATACTTTGTTGCTTCCCACCACTTTTGAGTGTAACCTTCTAAATCCTGCCAAATGTCGTGCGGAGGGATCAAGAAAATGATGAGCAGACTCACAAGCTGGCGCCATCATCGGCGGAGCTTTGGTTGGGGCCGTCCTCCTGGCGGGACTGAAGTGTCTGCGATCGGGTGGTGGAATTGACCCTGAAATCCAAATAGGCTTAGTGAGCATTTTTATAAGGAGGTGGGGGGCTAACTATCATTCGGGTCATACTTGTAGACAGCAGAGATCCCAGTTTCAGACTCTGGAACATATCGCCGGTGCGCTTGCGCTTCTCATTCCACCGGTATTCGTCTGGAAGGGGGGGATGATGCGAGAAACTCAATCAGACCTCGGTTCGGCCACGCATTTGCTGGAGGGAGGGCTCAAAAGTCGTACCCCGGTCGGCGGGCAGGTACTGGAAGTCCATGGGCTCGCTGACCTCGCGGTCCGAGGGTCGGCGCAGCTGCACCTTGACGCGGACGGGCTCGCTGAGGTTGGTGTCGCGGTATGGCGGCGTGCGGAACACGATGGCCACCTGCCTGTGGACGTCGGCCTGCGAGAAAGTTCCCTTGCCCTCCCAGGAGTCCTGGAAGAAGCGCACCTCGATGTCCTCTGTGGGGAGAGGGCAGGCCAGGGAAGAGTTTAAAACAGGAATTGGACCTCGCCTTCCAAAAGACACCGAAACCCCAGTTCCCCCCTCCAGACACCGAACAGCAGGTTCGACCTTTTTGGACTTTGTCGCAGAGTAGAAAGATTTCGTCGCCGCCTTTGCAGCTGCCCGAGTTACGGTTCACTCTGCAGATCTTCAGCTCTGCTGTGTTTGGAGCCCCTGTGACGAGAAAAAAAAACAGGCGTGAACGCTGAGAGATTGAGAACGCAGCCAGATGAGTTCAAATCAAATCAGTCGTCGCTTGAACCACCGGCAAGACGAACTTTTAACTACACGAGCGCGAATAACAGATTTTTGAGGAACAAAATCATCGAATGAATCATTTCATTTCTTGCTGCAATGCCATCGTCTTTACTAATGACGTAATGGGCTGCGTTACGACGAAGCGCTGTGGTGACGGGATTCCAGGAGTACTTTCATGACCATAAAACGCACATAAAAGTTTTCGATTTTCTCCAAAATGGACGGGGCGCCTCATAACGCGGGTCACCTTGTGTATGCACCGAGTTCCAAAAACTGCGAATACGCCGGTACGCTGCTTGTATAGAGAAAAGCCGGACGTCACTGAGGACCGCATGCGGACATTTAAGTGGGAAGGGCGGGCGTGAAAGAAAACGTGAAAGCCCCCCAGTAGGTGCCGGCACGTGCGTTGTGCAAAACAACATCCCGAAAATGGCACCGACGGAGACACGCTTACCAAGCATGGTTTCAACCGCAAGCTTATCAGTTACCCGGACGACCATGCTCGGCCAAAGTGAAGTTGCGAGCGGCGCAGGAGCGATGGCGAGCGCAGCTTGACTAAGACTGGGAGGCAGCGCCGGGCGAGGTGCGCCACAATTTGTGAATGGATTGTGGATGCCTGGGCTAACGTGTCTGCCAGCACGGTTGTTGGAGCTTTCGCAAAAGCCGGCATCGTTTCTGAGGAGCCGCGCGGCGACGAGGCTAACTTTGACGATCACGCAAGGGAACTTGGCGTGTTTAATTGTGAACTTGCCCAGCTGCTCATTTCGGATACAGAAGATGAGGACTTTAATGGATTTGTGGACGAGGATTGGTCAAAAGAATAACACGAGTACATTGTTAAATAGTTCAATAAAGTTCAAACGAACTCAGTTTTTGCTCCCACTGCCTTTTTAAAAACATCTCGTGTAGAGGCGCTGAAAATTTTAAATTTACCACTGTGTGCGTGTGTGTTTAATCAAGAAAAATAGCAGTAAAGGGAGGAATCTTGAAAGTGGACTGACGATAAATGTTTTTTTTTTTGGTTATGTGTACGCGAAGTCAGTACAAACGATGACCAGTGGCCATTCCTGTTCGGATCCAGCAGAGGGCGCTGCATGCACATATTGCATCACTCACTGTTGTCAAAGATGGGCTGCGAGACGACGGGCTCCAGGGGGAACAGCTCCCCCGAAGGCAGCGTGATGGAGGCCTGGAAGCAGAGCCGCACCGAATTCAGGTCAAATTCCTCCTCCCACACCTTGGCCTCGTGAACTGCAGCCAAGACACAGCAGGGAGAGGGTGAAGGTGTGTTGCACGCATTGGCGGCGGCGCAATCACATCACTGCATCCCGTCACAAGGCGGCCTTCGATGCTTTCAGAATGTTTAATACGGGGAGGGGGCAGAAAAGTGATTGCAGGGCTGGTCGATGATGCAAGAAATAATAATCACAATGCGACTTGACTGATATTGAAATCACTGCGGAATAAACAATTATTCATTGGTTTCAAAACTCAATTTTCAACTTAACTTGAAAGAACAACCAGAAAATAAATGTCTGGGTATTTGAAGGAATATCCCTTGCGGGACTTGATTAGCCGGTCAATTGGATTTCGCATTGATAGCGAGCGTTCGCAACCCCCCCCCCCAAAAAAAAACGAGGGGGGGTGGGGGGTATTGTATTTGTTCGCCACTTACTGTTGAAAGGGTTGTTGTTAGTCTGCAGCCGACATGTGATGGCCTCAATCACATCCTTCTTCTTCACACACTGAATGCCCAAGTTCTGAAAACTGACAACACACATCACACGTTTCACAAACGATGAGTTATTGACAACAAATACTTGTTCATTTCCTAACGACATCGAGACAGGCACAGAACGGTTGGTTGATTTATCTCTTCGGTATTTATTGCAACAGGTCAGTTAGCAGACGTTGATCCGGTACAGTACTTTTGCAATGATGCGACAGCAATTGGGCCAGCTCCCAACTAGTCTTGCGAAACGATTTTTCATTTGACTGACGTGTGCGTACAACAACTAAAAAGCAAACATGTCATGAGCCAATCTGTGCTGTTAATGATCCACGCGGCTCAAAGTGCCAGACAGGAGCCCGACTGCAGCCGAGGTGGCGTCTGTAAAAAGTGCCCCCCGCCCCGGCGTCACATGTGGCTCAAACTCCATGGCGCTCGCTTCTATGTGCTGCCGCATCGCTTCCCGGACAACGGGCAGACGTACCTGTGTATCCGCCTCTCCTGCAGGTCGGCCTCGTAGTAGCCGTGCTTGCAGTCTTTTCCGACCAGCTCGTGCGGATGAGGCTTGTACGGCGTGTTTTTTGTCACCAGGGAGATCCGAACACGCAGGGGGCCGCTGTAGTTGTGCACCTGTGATGGGACAAACACACACACACACACACACACACACACACACACACACACACACACACACGCATTGTGAATAGAAGGATAGAAGGAGACACATGGGCAGAAGTGGAGTCCTGATATTTTTGTATTCATGTGTATGTAGCTTTGTTTGATCGGAACATCTGCACTCATTTCCGTTAGCCTCTCCATGGCTTTTAGTATGAGAGGTTAGCATCGCAACACTAAAACAAAACTAAAACAATGTATTTTTGGAAAAAAATAAAAAACAAAGTAACAAACCTGCCCTACAAACTAAATGAATTGAAAGAACAAAAGTCTAAATGTAATAAAAACTATTAGGAAAAAAAAAAACAAGACACAAGCTCAGAAACTACTACAGCCCTGGTTAGCATTAGGCTAGCAGGCTTTCATCTGCGGTTTTTGTGCGCGTTCTGAAACGCCCTCGGATGCCACCAAAACTGTCTGCAGTGGAATTGGTGTTGAAGCGATACTTCTCTCCAGACCAAGGAGCTTTGGATGTTGGGTAGGGGCTCCGCTTAGCCTGGGCTGCGAGTGGAAGCTCCCGAGAGTCTTCATCCTTGCGCATTTCCTCCAAATCAAGTGATTTTTATTTTAAGGGTAATGTAATAAGATGTGTTTAAAATGATAATTAAGTGTTTGGGGATCACAGTCTTGTCGCATTTTTACTGTTTATAAGAGACGCCATTTTTTTGTGGTGCTTTGCACAATTTCTTTGACTTTATGGACGAGGTGAACTCACCTTAATGGCCGGGTGGGTCTTGGTGGTGTCGTTGCTTTTTTCCCCAGGTATGCTGCCCGCGGAGCGCCCCTCGCACTTGTATCGGAACCGCATCCCGCGCTGCTTCGGCTGCTCGATGATCTCGATGAAGGGGCTCGCTGTTTGGACTTGACACGGCAACAACGATGTGGTTAAAATACACCGTATGACCGTCTCATATTGGTCACCGCGAGGCCGGGTGGTTGCTTCATCATTTTTATTTGTCAGGATGAGTCGTCGTACCTGGGTTGAGCGCGTTCATTGGCCATCCGTACACACCTGGAATGGACAGAAGGGGAATTTTGAAACACACAAAAGGGTCGCGCAACACACGGAAAAACGTTTCGGCACATATTTGTGGCTTGTTAGGAACTTCTCATTCTTGGTGTGGTCACAGTGGAAGTGTCCTAAGAGGTAAAAGGTCGCAGACACACACTGAACATGCTGACTTGACACGCATGGCAGTGAAAACCCACCCCGCAAAAAACAAAAAAAAAGGAGATGGTGTCAAATGACACACGGACAAAGCCGTTGTCCAGTTTCAGATGCTTCATGAATTGTTGCAATTCATGAAATGAAGTGAGGTGCGACACAAGGGTCATGTGGTCTGACCAACTCTAAAGAAATGGAGATATGTTCACGTTCTAAAGACACACTTTACAATTCAAGTTGGTTGCATAAAACTTAAAGACAATACGCGCGAGTGCCATGAGGCCAACAAAAGCCATAACACGGAGTGCAATCCACTACAGTCATTTGTTAAGTGCAGTTCAGTTGTTTTTAACTTTTTAGTTAAATACAGTACTTGCTGTGCTGATGCTTGAGAATCACGTCACTTTTCACATACCAAATACCATTAGCGTTTTTTATTAGCATAGTAACGGAGTGTAAAGCCATTATGGTTGCAGTCGACTGCATCCTAAAAAGAAGTTTCCAAAAAAGAAGACAAAATATTGGCGGTCCACAAATTCATTATGGTACACATTTGCATTCAATCTTGAACAATTGTTTGTTTTAAGACCTTCATTTTACTCCCATTTTTAGAAAAGTTTTATTTGCAATACATTTCGATTGGATCATTATGATATTTTCTCACCGTGTTCAAACTGTTTTATGTTTCAGTGATATACTTTTGGGGAATAAAACCTTTGTCTCCTTTTTTAATGAGACAACGGTGTCTTAAGTATTTCTGAAGCGATACTAGGTTTAAAAAGTTTGAGAACCCACTACCACATATTTACAATCCAATGTGTGATGCACCACGGAGTCCACCTCGACCAAGATTAACACCTAATACAATAACATCTGACATCTTTTAAATTAAGACGAACTGTGGGCGCATCGCTCACACGCAGGAAAATACGTTTGGATGTGGCATATTGAACAGTATGCCCCCCAAGCGAGGCTGCTATATATTAAATGACCTCGTTTTCAAACGACGTTCGGGGCCTCGACAGTCGTAGTAGGAAATACGTGCGTGACCCAACAGGCCCGTCCCCAACTCAACATTCACTCATACCAGGAAGGTTATTCATTTCAACTCAAGTTCCTACGATCACCTTGAGGATACCGCACGCCTAAGTAAGTAAGGAATAACAAACGTTGACGAGCCACTGGCCGCGGGGGGATTCCCCTGGGCGCAAAACAACACCCCGTCCACTTTCACCTAGCTACCCCTTCCGCGCTCCCAAAAAGTGAGCAATCACGCAGCAAAGCAAGCGAAAGCGGCTCCACTTACTGGCCATGGCTCCCACTATACCCCGCGGACTCTCTGGTCTCCTTTTGTCAAGGTTGTAAGCGGCAAACCGTGCGAAGAGTTGGCAAAAACGGGTCTTGAATCCGAGCTACTTGCTTGGAGTCGGCGCCTCCTCTCTCCGCCCACCGAGATACGGCCCTGCGCCGCGCCGGGACGCGATGTCAAGCCGCACGTCACAACAACACACGCATTTTCCGGTAAAGCGGCAACACTATTGTCCTGAGGTGGATGACGCCACATCGATTTATTTACCTAACTAAAAGTGGGGGAAAAAGTAAGAAATCGAGCGAGAGAAAGAACTATTTGTATTGCAGCATTGGGAATGACCAAATGTTCCATTTCGAGCACGAGTAAAGTGGGATATAATTTCAACATAAATTAGCATGTACGGTTACAAGAAAAGCAAGTCAACTGTTGACAAATAGAATTTTGAGGAGTGCTACATAAACTGGTCACAAATTGTGATCTGATCCTTGGCTAACTCACAACAATAGCACGCAGTCTGGTTAAGTTCATACCAGAGAAACAATTTAACTGCTATCTTTGCAGGTGATTTTAATTTGATCTTCCTTAAACTTTTTACTCTCCAACTTTTCAACGTTTCTCAGAGGAGAAAACCCTTTCATGTGACACTATCCAAAAAGAAGACAAACGATTGCAATCGCACGACCGAGAGAAAGAGGGAGAAGTCAGCCAACCTAAAGGCCAATCAATAAGCTTGGAAGTGTTGATTAAAGATGCCCTGCTCGATACCCGAACCTTCGTATTCAATTAGTGGTTGAGCCTCCTGTGGTCCAATAATCTCAGCCGAAGAGTTCCTGAAGAATTATGGTCCTTCATGTTTCATATGAGAGAATATTCTCTAGTCGCCGTCTTTCGGGGGTTAAGTCTGTTTAAGTTATCACACCTGTCCTTTGGTTACTCTCTTGTAAAATGTCTTTCTAAACTTCATTTTCTTCCAAGAGAAGCCAGTGCCAAAACATTCAAACTCGATCCGAAATGTAGGATCCGGAGTATTGAGACATTCTGTGATTCAGTCCCAATTTTAGAGCAGGAAGCCAGCATTGTAGCACCAGGAAGTCGAGGCTTTTATTTTATCAGAACAAGTTCTCTTGTTCCGTTTGTATTGAGGGTTACTTTGATGCCAAAATTGTATGGCTCGTCACCAACCACTCAAAACAGCGCGGAAATACCCAGATGACGCACTTTGAGGATTAGAAAAAGATCGTGGGTGCGTGGGAGAGGCGAAAACCACAACTCGAATTCAGTCATCGTCTGGGGGACAGTTTCGTTGTTGATTCTTTGTTGCTGAACACAGAGGGCCAAAATAGTGGAGAGGACTATTGTCACCCACACTTGTCGTTCTTGTAACTACTTTAATATCGATTATGTATTGTGAACCGTATCGGTCCAATTTCACGAAAGCGTTTACTGGAAAGGGAAGGGCGAGGAAACAACGCCTCCACGTTTTGCCCACGAGATGGCGATGTAGGCGAGTAAATATAACGCCATCTGAAGAGCGCAATAATTAAGATATCCTTTATTTGTCCCACACTGGGGGAATTTACAGTCTACAGCAGCAATTTTGGGGGGTAGAAAGAAGAAAAACAAAGTGTTTGCAAGCACTCAATTAAAAAAAAAATTCAATAGGTAATTAACGTCTAACCTTTTCACCAACCAAAACACTGACATACATGAATATAAACCACTAAAACCAGTGAAACAAGACAATATGCACAGTTTGAACACGGCTGAGATACACGAACCAAAACTATACTTAAAGGATTCTTTTAATCATGAGCATGCACATAAAAGCTACAAAATTTCATCAAATGTTACAAGTTTTAAAGGTTAATGCAAATAAATGCCTTGAACGTAAACGCTGGGCACTTGGGCAAACTGTTTAATTATTTACATTCAATGATATGCCAAGTTACTGGATGTTTTAATAAAGTGCTAGGTTGCTTATTAGAAAGATTCAGATTTTTTTTTTTAATGGTGGTTTTTTTTTTTTTTTTTTTGCTTGGCTGGAAGGAAATAATGGCATTTCCACAGAACAAAATGTACAATGAACCGTGGTCGAGGTTTTTTTTTTTTTGCTAGATGTAAACTAGTAGAATTTTATGTCACTACTAGTACTGGTACCACATAATTGTCACCCAATGAACAGTTGTGTCTCATTGCAAACATGTTGTCGTTCTACGAGTGCGCAATAATGTCACACAATCGTGGTAAAAATGCCACGAGTGAGACAGGGGGCGCCATAGACACATCCAATATGGCGGATGCGCTGACGTATGTGATGTCAAAGCAGGCCCTGTGTATATTTTGAAGTCTATGGTTGCCAAGGCAGAAACCAGAATGGTGCCTTCATCGGCTCACTTCAATCGTAGGACATAACGAGTTTTTCCTTGCAATTATCACGTACACATGTAATATATACGTCATATCCAAACTAGTCGCTTTGGATCACTCTCGATCAACTTGTGGCCGATTGAATCGACCCCCTCGTCTCCTGAGTGCGTTTACGTATGCAAGGGACTTTAAAGGCAGCGCGAGGCATGTCATAAACGGATGGGCCGGGAAGCTTGGTGGTGCGTTTGAGGCCAGTGAGGCGGTACCTTCCGAGCCTCCTTCACTCTGCGGCGCAAGCGAGCTCTTCGGAACAGAAATGGCGGAGGGGGAGTTGGACGTGGATTCGTTGATTTCCAGACTTTTAGAGGGTAAGTGCGTCTCTTTCACCGCGGATTGTGTGCGATTCGTGGACATTGCGTCCCTCTGTTTTGGCCCAAGGGGCCAACAGCTGAAAGCGTTGCTCGACTCGCGAATAGGACTGGTGGGGAAGAAAAATGTCTTGCTGGTGAAATCACAGCCGCACCTTGAAGCTTACTTCGCCCCTTTCCCCTCTTTATCCCGCATTTGTTTCTCCACACGTTGTTAAACGGGCTCTCAAATATTCGCCACCGATGTGTGGCGTTTACGTGACAACGAAAAGTTGTCGTTTCGCGGCCGTTGGCGCTTGGTGGGGTAAACGTCGTTTATTCACCCCCTGACAATGTCTCATTACAAGTGTATCGCACGTCATGTCATCACTGGAGCGTGCCGAAATCAAACCAGCCAAGTTGGCGTCCTATTTTTAAATATGCTAATCGTGTTTCTTGAACGCAGCACGGTGGTGGGCGGCAGCTTCTGGTTCACCCCACTAGCTAAAGTGACTTGGTCACTATTAACGTACGCCGAAAACGTCAGCACCGTTGTTTGGTTCTGGTCGAAGGACACACTTGAGGCCCGATGTGCGCCTGTTGAATTTTCCAGCAGTCTTAAGAAGAAGCAAATATTTTTTCAAGGGGACGTGGCGCTCAGAAGAGAGAAGGCACGACTTGTGCATGTTGTGTTTACGTGCGAATATTTACACAAGAAAGCATGGGATTAATTGAATTTGTCTGTGTGCAGTTTTCCACCTCTATATTCCCATTATACAGCGCACTTACTGTAATGCCTAAATGTGGGGAAGGAGAGCCACAGTCGACTTGACACAATGAATGCACTCAAATCACGCAAAGGGCTGCTGGCAACACTTAGGGCATGATCACCACTGGCACATGTATTTTTGTTTTGGATGGTCTCTAGTATGAATTTTTACTGTGGATGGTTCTGCAACCCAGAATGTTGGCCGGCTGTGGTTTGTTTATCTCAAGGCAGAACGCTGAGACACAGTCACTTGGTGTCATTTGTAAACACGCCGAGGATTGAGTCGCTGAACAAATACTGAACAGTTTGCACACGTGCAAGGCTTCAGCTCAGCCTAATCATCATCCAGATTGGTTGGGCGTGTTACAAAATTGATTGCAATATTGACTTGATTCTAGCAGTGTTACCAGCTGACAATACAGTGAATCCCTGTTTCGAGTGACCTGTTTTCGGACCCACCCACAAGAAGTGAGAATCCGACATAGAGGTCTCATATATATATATATATATATAGGGAACATGTAAACAACACAATGTAACTCCAAGTGTGTGTGTATATAAAATATATATTCACACACACACACACACACACACCAATCCAAAATATACATGTTATTTTGATCCTCGCAGTCCACACTACTGTCTGTGACTTTGAATGGGTGTGGCCTTAAAAGGCGGGGCCTGGCCTGAGTGACTTGGGTGTCAGCCAATCAAAGTGTAGCATTGGCTTTTCTTGGTTTAAGATTGCCGTTGACCGCTTGTGTGTTGAGTGCTTCTCAGTGACTGTTTGTTCAATTTGGTGCTAGACTCTGTAAAACTACCTCTACCGAAAACTTAACCCTACATGAAGCTCCTCAACTCACTTCAACACAATGTCTTGTCATCAAGAGGCAACCAAACCGTGACTATGCGGGAGTTCACTCTACACTTGTGTATGCTAACAAAACAAAACAAAAAAATAAATAAAATGAAAATGGTCACATAAACATCAACCGTAAGTTAGGTGTCGGACAACGGTACATCCCTTTGCCGTCAACTGACCAAAATACATTTTGGTGTTTTGTTTCAATGACGACGGTCGCATGGGTACACATAGTCGCAAAGCTGTCTTATTAAATGTCAGCACACACAGCTGTCCGTGATCCTAATAAATAAACCAAGCGGTGACGAGGGGCAATACGGACAGGAAGCCAAAAGTGGCTGCCATTCCGCCTGTGCACAAATTCGAATGTCTGGGAGCAACCGCGGTCATTTATAATGCCGGTTTACACCGAGAGACTCTTAATGATGACATTTTGGAAGCTGCGTATTTTGCATTGCCAGCACGGCGCGCTGTTGTGGAAACAATGGTGGAGCCTGTGCGCCGAGGAGCGTTTGCTCCCTGGCACCATCACTGGCAAAGGGGGTTCGGGCCAGGACTCGGACCCGCTCTTTCCAGACGGCACTCCGTTGTCTCAGTTTCGTCGAGCTCACAAAGATGCTCATTCTTCTGGAAATGTCAATGGCAGAACAAAACGGCCTGTGCAGACTCGGCGTCGCATTTTCTCCCTCCTAGTTACTCTCGAGTCCTTCTTCCACCTTGGGGATGCACGGTCAGATTCAGAAAACTCCCCCCCCCCCCATTAGATGTCTTTCACAAGTGCCGTAAACATTTCTCATTGGCTGTTTAATCGTATGTGTGTGTC